GCGCGGGGGCACCGCCGTCCTCCCGCCGCCAGGGGGCGCGATGCGGAGGCGCACCGAGAGCGGCGGCACGGGGCCAGAGCGGCGCGGCGGCCCAAGATGGCGCAGACCGTGAATGTGGCGGAGCTGTCGTTGCCGCAGCTGGAGGTGCTCAAGAACCAGCTGGACCAGGTGGGGAGGGGAGGGGGGGGCTGCGGGGGGGCCTCGGGCGGCGAGCGGGGCGTAACGGGAGAGCGGGGCCGTGCTGGGCTGGGAAGAATTAGGGAGAAGGCTGGGAGGGGGTGTGGGGCTGCGGGGGGATGTGGGGCCTGGGGAGGTGAGATGAACAGGGCCTGGCTGTAGGGCGACGTGCGGGGGGGAGAATTTGGGCCTCGTAGGGGTGGGGGGCGGCGAGCGGGGCTGTAGGAGCCGGGAGGGAGATGGGGGTCCATAAGCTGTTCTGTGGCAGCCACAGAGCCCATCTCGGCCCGGCGCTCGGTGCCACCGCAGCTCTGTGCCTTCGCGCGGCTGTTCCCTGCTGTTCCCCCCACACCCTCAGCCTGCCCCTCGGTTCCTGCAGGACTCGCTTCCTGCTCTTTCAAAGTAAGATCTGGGGCTGTTCCCCGTCCCATCCTGCAGTCGGGTCTCCGCCCCACCAGGGTCCGCTTGGTCCTGGGGTCCCCTCTACCCAATCCCCCCCCGTGGCGGGGCTGCGCTCTCTCCCCAGGAGGTGGAATTCCTCTCGTCCTCCATCACGCAGCTCAAGGTGGTGCAGACCAAGTATGTGGAAGCCAAGGACTGCCTTAACGTGCTCAACAAAAGCAACGAAGGCAAGTGGGACCCCTGAGAGGCTGCAGGTTCTGCTCCCCTCCTTCCTGGCTTTGCTGCCTAAAATTACTTGGGGCTGAGGTGTGCCAACCTTGCTTTGGGAGAGTGACTGAGAGCTTTGCCTCCTGCCCCTCTCAATTCCTTGGGGCTCTGCTTCCCTTTCACTGGGGAGGTTGGTCAGGTGTGATGCACTGCTGGGGGAATGGATGCGGCTGTAACACCCTCCCCAGATGCTTTGGGTTGTGTTTTGGCCCTGGGGCTCCCCTTGCCCCAGCACTCACGCATCTCTTCTTGCTCTTCTGCAGGGAAGGACCTGCTGGTGCCTCTCACCAGCTCTGTATCCTTTGCAGTCCCCACAGCCCCATGTTGTTACCCTCTCCAGAGCCTTTAGGGTTGGCAATTCCAGCCCTTAGTGCCTTTGATCCGTCACAAACCCACACCGGCGTGGCGTGGCCTTGCTGGCACCAGGGCTCTGCCCCGGCTCCGCGGAGCTCAGCTCCCAGAGCTGCGTAACCATCCCGGCTCCCCACTTTCCCTGACCGCCCCCGCCAGATGTACGTCCCTGGGAAGCTCTCAGACGTCGAGCGTGTGCTGATCGATGTCGGAACCGGATACTACGTGGAGAAGGTGAGGGGTGGAGAAGGTGAGGGGTGCGTGCCCGGATCGCCGCGGGGCAGCTTGGCAAAAGCGCTGTGTTCCCTTTGGAGCCGCTCCTCCTGCTGGTGCCGCAGGGCGCAGGCAAGCTGCTGCTGCTCCCGCCGCTGCTGCTCCCCGATGGCGCACGCAGGGTGCGATTTCTGGGCCCCGGGAGGGGAATGCGGTTCCCAGCGGTGCTCGCTGCCTTTTCGCACCCGGGGGCCGTGCTGCGGCGTGCGGGCGGTGTGGGCCGGTCCCAGAACAGCCGCCTGTCGGCGCTGGCTGGCAAACAGGGCTGCCTCCGGAGGGGGGCCCTGCAGGGACTCAGCGCCTCGGCGCTGCTTTTGCCCTTTATGCACTCAGACTGCAGACGACGCCCGAGAGTTTTTCAAGCGGAAGATCGACTTCCTGACCAAGCAGATGGAGAAGATCCAGCCCCCGCTGCAGGAGAAGCACGCCATGAAGCAGGGTAAGGGCCGGCACCGCTGTTGCTCCACGTTCGGGGCTGTCAGCGGCCCCACACCACCCCGGTGCTTCTTCCCGCAGTTGTGGTGGAGATGATGAGCCAGAAGATCCAGCAGCTGACAGCCCTGGGGGCGGCACAGGGGGCCACCACCAAGGCGTGACCTTCAGCCTCAGCACCTGCCTTCCTCATCCCGCCAGGGAGTGGATTGGAGGTGCTGTGGGGACGCACGGCGTTCTGTGCCCATGTTGTCCCCACGCTCCTGGCGCGGTCGCTCCGATCCGAAGCTGTGCAGCGCTGCGAAGCGCGAGCCAAACCTTCCCTTATTGTGAAGCAGCGCTTTGCTGCCAGCACACGGAATAAACACGACCTGGGCACGGCCTCTTTCTGCTTCTCAATCCACGCGACTCGTAATTTGAGACTCAACGGGGTCCTCAAAAAATGCCTTGATGTGGGGCAGCGTGACCCAAGGCATCGCTCCCAGCCCCTGCACCTTGCCTGTGCGACGGGGTGAGGTCACAGCAGAGCCCCCCTGTCCCAACACAACTCACCCGTGTCCCCCAGACAGAAGTGCTTTATTCTACAGCTGTCCCGCTGCGCCCCACATCCCAGCCCCTCGCTTTGCTTCTACCCTACGGCCCCCACCCCACGCTATGTACATCTACAGGGTCCAACCCTACACGTTCACTGAGGGCCGGTGCTCCGAGCCTCGCATCCTGAGCCGCTCCATCCTCGGGCAGGTCGTCCCCCCAACCCCAGCTCAGTGCACGAAGACGGGTTTGTGGACGCGCTTGTGGCGTTTGAGCGTGGCGCTTTTGGCGAAGCTGTCCCCGCACTCCACGCAGATGTAAGGCTCGTGGCCGTGCGCCTGCGCCCGGTGCAGCTCCAGCTCGGCCCCGTCGCAGCAGCTCAGCCCGCACTCGGGGCAGGCCGGAGGCTGGCTGCAGGCCGCGTGCACCCGCTGGTGCTTCAGCAGGTTGGTGCTCTGCGCGAAGCCGCGGCCGCACTGCCCGCAGCGATGGGGCCGGGCCCCCGAATGGGTGCGCTGGTGCTTGATGAGGTTTTTGCTCTGCGTGAAGCTCTTCCCGCACTGCCCGCAGCTGTAGGGCTTCTCCCCGGTGTGGATGCGTTGGTGCTGGATGAGGTTGGAGCTCCAGCTGAAGCTCTTCCCGCAGTCCCCGCAGCGGTACGGCTTCTCCCCGGTGTGCGTGCGGCGGTGCTGCACCAGGTGTGAGTTCTGGCTGAAGCTCTTCCCGCACTCCCCACATGTGCTCGGTCGCTCTCCGGTGTGAGTCCGCTGGTGCCTCAGCAGTTTGGACCAGTGGCTGAAGCTCTTCCCGCACTCGTTGCAGATAAAAGGGCGCTGGCGGCCCCCCCGCAGCCGCCCCCCGCCGCCCTCCTGCTCCTCCTCGCCGTAGCCCCCCATGGCAGAGCCCCCGGCGCCGCGGCCCCCCGCTGCCCCCCGCTTCCTGCCTTTAGGGGTCAGGGGAAGCGGGGGGATGACGGTCTGGATGATCTCCTGCGGCAGCACCTCCTCCTTGCAGTCGCTCACGATGCCGTCGTCGACTGTGGGGCGGATGGAGAGAAGCTGGGGAAGGGGCTGGGACCCCCCGAGGCTGTTCATCCTTCCTTGGCGCTCTCTGGC